AGAGGTGTCTGCTCGTCAATCGTCGACGCAAGGTGTCCACACTAATAAATGTGTCGCTGGTGTGTCCTCATGGTCTGTCAAGGAGTTTCCGCAGCAGTAACAAAGCGATCTTGAAGATGCTCTCTCACAATCTGACAATCCTGACGTCCGGTGGTGACCCTTGGTCTTCCACTACGAGGTCGGTCATCTGTAGTGTTGGTGGTCTGGTACCATTGCAATCGTCCAAAGGCTTGGTGTCACTGATTTCTTGTCAATCTTGGCATGTCGTAGCAATTCATTAACGAATGAATGTTATCCGATCTAGGTGGATTTTTATAGGGCAAGAAATGGGGGAACGTATGTGCATTTCAATTTGCATGGAACTCACGTGCATCAGGTTACCATAGCCATTGCCGTGATGTGTTTGGGTGATAAGTTTTATTGTCATCTGCTTTGTTTTTTTATCATCAAATTTCATTTTTCCGGACAAGGTAATGTTAAATTTTAGAAACTTTGCCAAAAATTACCCAGATATTTAAATGACAACTTTTCATGCAATGTTACTTGGGGTGACGTTTCTTTTGCAGTTCAGTATATATCAAATCAGTTGTATTTGGTCAATGTACAGTTTGTGGTAATATATATCTAAGGCTTGATAGCATTCCTGTACACAGTAACAGAATGTCTTTCAGATTTCTCCCTCTGAAAAAAAAATCATTCACATGCATATTCTGGATTGACTGGTTTTGTTAATGAATTTCAGAAACACTAATCTTCCTGTTCTGTTGCCCTCGTCCAGATCTTGATGGTGTCGGTAGCTACCATGTGTAGATTAGTAGCTACCATGTGTAGATCAGTAGCTACCATGTGCTAATCACAAGCTACCATGTGTAGATCAGTAGCTACCATGAATAGATCAGTAGCTACCATGTGTAGATCAGTAGCTACCATGTGCTAATCACTAGCTACCATGTGTAGATCAGTAGCTACCATGTGTAGATCAGTAGCTACCATGTGCTAATCACTAGCTACCATGTGTAGATCAGTAGCTACCATGTGTAGATCAGTAGCTACCATGTGTAGATCACTAGCTACCATGTGTAGACCACTAGCTACCATGTGTAGATCAGTAGCTACCATGTATAGATCAGTAGCTACCATGTGTAGATCAGTAGCTACCATGTGTAGATAAGTAGCTACTATGTGTAGATCAGTAGCTACTATGTGTAGATCAGTAGCTACCATGTATAGATCAGTAGCTACCATGTGTAGATCAGTAGCTACCATGTGTAGATCAGTAGCTACCATGTATAGATCAGTAGCTACCATGTATAGATCAGTAGCTACCATGTGTAGTTCAGTAGCTACCATGTGTTAATCACTAGCTACCATGTGTAGACCACTAGCTACCATGTGTAGATCAGTAGCTTCCATGTATGGATCAGGAGCTACCATGTGTAGATCAGTAGCTACTATGTGTAGATCAGTAGCTACTATGTGTAGATCAGTAGCTACCATGTGTAGATCAGTAGCTACCATGTATAGATCAGTAGCTACCATGTGTAGATCAGTAGCTACTATGTGTAGATCAGTAGCTACCATGTGTAGATCAGTAGCTACTATGTGTAGATCAGTAGCTACCATGTGTAGATCAGTAGCTACTATGTGTAGATCAGTAGCTACCATGTGTAGATCAGTAGCTACCATGTATAGATCAGTAGCTACCATGTGTAGATCAGAAGCTACCATGTGTTAATCACTAGCTACCATGTGTAGACCACTAGCTACCATGTGTAGATCAGTAGCTACCATGTATGGATCAGTAGCTACCATGTGTAGATCAGTAGCTACCATGTGTAGATCAGTAGCTACCATGTGTAAATCACTAGCTACCATGTGTAGATCAGTAGCTACCATGTGTAGATCAGTAGCTACCATGTGTAGATCAGAAGCTACCATGTGTAAATCACTAGCTACCATGTATGGATCAGTAGCTACCATGTGTAGATCAGTAGCTACCATGTGTAGATCAGAAGCTACCATGTGTAGATCAGTTGTTACCATCTATAGATCAATAGCTACCATGTATAAATCAGTAGCTGCATGTGTAGATCAGTAGCTACCATGTGTAGATCAGTAGCTACCATGTGTAGATCAGAAGCTACCATGTGTAGATCAGAAGCTACCATGTATGGATCAGTAGCTACCATGTGTAGATCAGTAGCTACCATGTGTAGATCAGAAGCTACCATGTGTAGATCAGTAGCTACCATGTGTAGATCAGAAGCTACCATGTATGGATCAGTAGCTACCATGTGTAGATCAGTAGCTACCATGTATGGATCAGTAGCTACCATGTGTAGATCAGTAGCTACCATGTGTAGATCAGAAGCTACCATGTGTAAATCACTAGCTACCATGTGTAGATCAGTAGCTACCATGTGTAGATCAGTAGCTACCATGTGTAGATCAGAAGCTACCATGTGTAAATCACTAGCTACCATGTATGGATCAGTAGCTACCATGTGTAGATCAGTAGCTACCATGTGTAGATCAGAAGCTACCATGTGTAGATCAGTTGTTACCATCTATAGATCAGTAGCTACCATGTATAAATCAGTAGCTGCATGTGTAGATCAGTAGCTACCATGTGTAGATCAGTAGCTACCATGTGTAGATCAGAAGCTACCATGTGTAGATCAGAAGCTACCATGTATGGATCAGTAGCTACCATGTGTAGATCAGTAGCTACCATGTGTAGATCAGAAGCTACCATGTGTAGATCAGTAGCTACCATGTGTAGATCAGTAGCTACCATGTGTAAATCACTAGCTACCATGTATAGATCAGTAGCTACCATGTGTAGATCAGTAGCTACCATGTGTAGATCAGTAGCTACCATGTGTAGATCAGAAGCTACCATGTGTAGATCAATAGCTACCATGTAGGGATCAGTAGCTACCATGTGCTAATCACTAGCTACCATGTGTAGACCACTAGCTACCATGTGTAGATCAGTAGCTACCATGTATGGATCAGTAGCTACCATGTGTAGATCAGTAGCTACCATATGTAGATCAGTAGCTACCATGTGTAAATCACTAGCTACCATGTGTAGATCAGTAGCTACCATGTGTAGATCAGTAGCTACCATGTGTAGATCAGAAGCTACCATGTGTAGATCAGAAGCTACCATGTATGGATCAGTAGCTACCATGTGTAGATCAGTAGCTACCATGTGTAGATCAGAAGCTACCATGTGTAGATCAGTAGCTACCATGTGTAGATCAGTAGCTACCATGTGTAAATCACTAGCTACCATGTATAGATCAGTAGCTACCATGTGTAGATCAGTAGCTACCATGTGTAGATCAGTAGCTACCATGTGTAGATCAGAAGCTACCATGTGTAGATCAATAGCTACCATGTAGGGATCAGTAGCTACCATGTGCTAATCACTAGCTACCATGTGTAGACCACTAGCTACCATGTGTAGATCAGTAGCTACCATGTATGGATCAGTAGCTACCATGTGTAGATCAGTAGCTACCATATGTAGATCAGTAGCTACCATGTGTAGATCAGTAGCTACCATGTGTAGATCAGTAGCTACTATGTGTAGATCAGTAGCTACCATGTGTAGATCAGAAGCTACCATGTATGGATCAGTAGCTACCATGTGTAGATCAGTAGCTACCATGTGTAGATCAGAAGCTACCATGTGTAGATCAGTAGCTACCATGTGTAGATCAGAAGCTACCATGTGTAAATCACGAGCTACCATGTATAGATCAGTAGCTACCATGTGTAGATCAGTAGCTACCATGTGTAGATCAGTAGCTACCATGTGTAGATCAGTAGCTACCATGTGTAGATCAGTAGTTACCATGTGTAGATCAGTAGCTACCATGTGTAGATCAGTAGCTACCATGTGTTAATCACTAGCTACCATGTGTAGACCACTAGCTACCATGTGTAGATCAGTAGCTACCATGTATGGATCAGTAGCTACCATGTGTAGATCAGTAGCTACCATATGTAGATCAGTAGCTACCATGTGTAGATCAGTAGCTACCATGTGTAGATCAGTAGCTACCATGTGTAGATCAGTAGCTACCATGTGTAGACCACTAGCTACCATGTGTAGACCACTAGCTACCATGTGTAGATCAGTAGCTACCATGTGTAGATCAGAAATCCATGCATTGTGGATATTTGGAATAGGTTTGATTTTTTATCACTTGTTTACTGCGACGGGTCCAAATCATCTGGAATGTTTAGATAAATCCTATTACCAGTGGAAAGGTATTTTGGTTACATGATAATCACAGTCATTTCACTGCCTTAATGTTGGCTTGAATGGTGAGTGTAACAGTTGACTCGAAGTGAGCGAGTTGAAATTTTACATCTCATCACCAATATTTCAGCCATATAGTGTAGACTCTGTCTAAACAGTCATGGCATGGGATTGGCAGAAAATGTTGGACTACTTATTTCAACTAAATTCACCTGTACAATTCACATCTGTAATTCAGCTGGCAATAAAGTTTGTAATTGTTAGTGTGTTATAAAAATTCCTGTTACAGATAGACACGACTCACTCACAGTAACCTTGTTTCCCTAATAAACAGTGCACATAACTCACTAGGTTAACACAAACAGTAGTCCATGTTCAGATAATAGCTTATATCAACTGATACAGGAATCATCTCGAGACGGCAATCATCTGGTCAGAAAACAATGATGGTACAGGTAGTTGGAGATTGGGACCGATACTCAGTGCCTGTATCCAGAATAGACAGATGCCAGAGTACTCCCACTCTAAATTTCAACTTATAATCATGAAATTTCAAGTCAGTAAGTTTCTTGAATTTCATGGTAGTATCTTGAAATTTAAACTTATGTGTCTTCAAATTTCCCAAAAAAATTATCCTTCTGTCTTTGTTTAGTAATCCGACGTGTTTGAGAATTAAGAATGATGGAATTTGAACCACCCAAGTGAACATCTCGATCTCTTCCAGGGACTTCACATCCAAAGAAAGAATACATGACATCATCCGCCAGTTCCAACCCCTGCCAGAACATCCCAGTCCCATCTCCATCGGGTCGTCAGAACTCCTGCAACAGAAGAAGCTGCGTCTCCTTGGAAACAAAGAAAAGAATATGCGCAACCCAGATCTTATGATGGTGAAGCCAGTGTTCCAGCTGGACAGTGGTGTTGACAGGTCAAGTGAGGTCATCACGCCAGTCAAGGACCTGGCCAGTGATGTGGGATCCTCCCGAGATGAAGAATCCCTTAGAGGGCTCCCAAAATTCAAAAAGCCATTACCAAATATTAAAGGTATGTAGAGGCATTCGTTTAGTTTTGTATAAAGTGGTAAAATGTAAGTAAAAGTTAAATTGCAAAAACGGACTTCCGTTATTGTGGAAGCCTTGATGGCTGAGTGGGTAAGATCGCTGACTTCTAGTGCTGGCAATTAGATGACTTACTCTGGGTTCTAATCCCGGTTGGAACACAACCCCCAAAAGTACTAGATTTTATATTTTACGAAGAAAGTGTAATCCCAAGTATAACATGTGTCCGTTTGACCACTTTCTAAAATGCTTTGTGTATGGGGCAATTATAAAAACTAATTAGAGCCACATTTTTCTTAATTGATAGCTAAAAATTCCAAAACATTGTAACTTTCATCTCACTTGTACCGGGAAGGCAACAGTGCTTTCTGTTACGTTGTTATTAGAGTTGGCATTGTTTGGTCAATATGTAGCTAGATCTAACTTCAGTGTCTTGATTAAATACTAAATAAGACCAGATTATTTTTGGCTTCTTTGTTTACTTTTGTCAGTAGATGGAAATCAAATATTACAAAAGATGTTTCATATTTTTTCTGTTGTGCAAAACATTTTGTGAATATGTTACCATTGCACCCTGTATGTCAAGCCTTTCTTGTCAGCTTTGAAGTTTAAACATTTGTGCACATTTTTGGGATGACTTATAAGCTTTCATGTTTATTGATCAAGTAGTCTTTTCAGATTGTAATTATTCCTCTTTTTTTTAAGGTTTGCTGTTCTCTGGACCAATTAATGTTTTAAGGTTTTATTGAGAGATATGTTTTATTTGCAGCTTCATCGAAGTATGAGGGATTAAGCAAAATCCCCTCCATCTCACTCGGCCTCCCTGAGCTACCGACAGGCATCAGACAGACAAGACCTTTCACCTACAAGAAGCAGCAGTATGTGGACTTCAGCTTAGGTCTGTACTGTTGAAGAATGTCTACATTTGACCCTGTCAAGTTGATTAAACAAATGACTTCCAAAACAAAATAAAAACTCTTATATAAGCTCTGCCGTCACAATTATTCGGACCCAAAAATGTTTCAAAAATGTGGAAAAAGTGCAATGCACTTCAGTTTGACTTTAATCCCATTGACTTGCTACTTCTTGCCTTCTGTGTCTGCAGGTTAACTTTAAAGGTGCACAGTCTGAGATTACAGTATTTCCTTGCACATGCTCGGATGGACGTGGGAAACAAAATCTTAAACGTGACATGTATTAACCAAAAGGACACTCTCATTAATGTTAACAGATAAAAATAGATTATCCTCAGAGAGATTTGGTCCACAAAGTGCTTGTTGTGCTATGACTGTTGTAACATGACTGTTGTAACTCCCATACTATAACATAGACTTAGGATCGCCTTAATGTTGAGATTGATTTGTGAGTGTGTATGTTTAAAACAATTCACTGCAACTATGACCATAAATTGGTTCCCTTAATCCTCTTTCTCAGTTAGTCCATGTTGAAATATGTTAGGGTTATGATAGTCTTAGCAGGCAAAACCCTGGCCCTTTAAATTTATTTGATATTTGACACCAGTGTTTTTTATGAGAACAAAAATACGCATTCAAGAATCATTTGAGACTTGGGAAAGAAACAATAGATCAATATCAGGTTTGTCTCTACTAACTTTTCACCTCTGTTATTTCAGTTTCTATTTTCACATACTAGTTCTTACAAGAAATTAGATCCAAACAAAAGTATATACTGTCAACAAGTTTCAAGTATAGTGAATTCAAAACAACAAACCTCTGTAGGAGAATGTTGGCCTCACCGCAGATATTTGAACATTTTTAGTTTAAGGTAAGGTATTTTGGGTTCAATCTCATTAAAATCAGATCTTAGTTTTCGCTACCGCTTAACAAAGATCTGAGGACATCCAATTATGGGTCACATCAGAACGACCTTTTGCGAATTTTGACCGATCATTGAAATGACTGACAAGAAAACGGCAGCTTTCTCGAGCTTTATGACACTAGTTTCAAACTGGCGACTATGCTTCGAAACATATTTTGACATATTCTCGATTAAAAAATTTAAAACTGATGAGAAGAACATTCTGGAATGGCTAATAGATGGCCTAGATTGTATGGATATAATCATAAAGCCTGTAACTGTCATTTGGAATACCCCGTGTTAAATATTTCATGGTTGCATGATCAGAAAACACATTCCGACTGTCACATTCATGATCTGGTAAGCGAAGTTCTGATTGGTTGGATGAAAGGTCGTTCTGACGTGACTCGTAATGGGATGTCCTCAGATCTTTGTTTAGCGATAGCGAGAACTAAGATCTGATTTTAATGAGATTGTTTTGGGTTTATTTTTCTAATGATGTTGTTCGTCATCTTGATCCCGTAAATGTAGGTCCAGTCTTCACGCCACTATCTACTGACCGAAGCACGGAAACACCAGGGTCTGACCATGGCACCACGGTGAGGGCTAACTTGGCCTCAGCATCAACCAGACTGCAGGACAGAGACTTGTATCAGTGTGACAAGAGATACAGCAGAGAAGGGACGGCCATGGTAAGTGTTTCAGTACAGGCCTGTATGTCTCTGACCCTGTGGGTGATCCACCAGACTGCAGGACAGTAGAACTGTATCAGTAGGTGTTTCAGTACAGGCCTGTATGTCTCTGACCCTGTGGGTGATCCACCAGGCTGCAGGACAGTAGAACTGTATCAGTAGGTGTTTGAGTACAGTCCTGTGTGTTTCTGACCCTGAGGGTGATCCACCAGACTGCAGGACAGTAGAACTGTATCAGTAGGTGTTTGAGTACAGTCCTGTGTGTTTCTGACCCTGTGGGTGATCCACCAGACTGCAGGACAGTAGAACTGTATCAGTAGGTGTTTGAGTACAGTCCTGTGTGTTTCTGACCTTGTGGGTGATCCACCAGACTGCAGGACAGTAGAACTGTATCAGTAGGTGTTTGAGTACAGTCCTGTGTGTTTCTGACCCTGTGGGTGATCCACCAGACTGCAGAACAGGGAACTGTATCAGTAGGTGTTTGAGTACAGTCCTGTGTGTTTCTGACCCTGTGGGTGATCCACCAGACTGCGGGACATTGAACTGTATCAGTAGGTGTTTGAGTACAGTCCTGTGTGTTTCTGACCCTGTGGGTGATCCACCAGACTGCAGGACAGGGAACTGTATCAGTAGGTGTTTCAGTACAGGCCTGTATGTCTCTGACCCTGTGGGTGATCCACCAGACTGCAGGACAGTAGAACTGTATCAGTAGGTGTTTGAGTACAGTCCTGTGTGTTTCTGACTCTGTGGGAGATCCACCAGACTGCAGGACAGGGAACTGTATCAGCAGGTGTTTGAGTACAGTCCTGTTTGTTTCTGACCCTGTGGGTGATCCACCAGACTGCAGGACAGTAGAACTGTATCAGTAGGTGTTTGAGTACAGTCCTGTGTGTTTCTGACCCTGTGGGTGATCCACCAGACTGCAGGACAGTAGAACTGTATCAGTAGGTGTTTGAGTACAGTCCTGTGTGTTTCTGACCTTGAGGGTGATCCACCAGACTGCAGGACAGTAGAACTGTATCAGTATGACAATGTTTCAAAGTTTTTTAGTAACTTTACAATTTGACATTTCCAGTGAACCAACATGGCTCTTATCATACCTCATCCTTTGAGTGTAAGAGCTACAAAATACACTCATTGAAAGTCTTGGAAGTAATGATTAGTGTATTGTATGTGCAACATGAACACACACTTCACAGATCTTGATGTTGAATGTTTACAGACCAACAGCAGTATTCCTCTTCAAGGCATCTCCCCATCAACTTCAGCCAAACTACCTAAGACACCAATGGCCACGCCAGTCACTTACTCCTCGCCTACCAAGACCTCCTTCCAAAGAGACAGAACCAACATGTCCGCTCCCAATGATTCCCGCAGTCCGCCGCCATCCCGGGACATCTCCACGTCACCTGTGCAGAAGATGATTGCCCCAGCCAACTCCCCGAACCAGTCCCCCCCAGGCTCCCCTGAGCCTGGAACAGGAGGTAATTAACCTACTGTTTTTCTCTTAGTAGCCCCATGTCTTATCCTTTGACACTTGTTTGTTTTCTTCTATCTTATTACTATGACATGGCACGCTGTTGGTCAAACAGTGATCTAAGACACATCAGCTGGCTCACATGCACACTTTGTTACATCCTTGAATGTAACTGTTTTCATTACCCTTCTTAACAGATGATCCTTTGCACAAAATGTCAAAGCCCAGGTGACAAAACAGGGATTTCTAAGGTACATCAACTTGCTGTGCAGACTTGTTTACTTTATTATATATGAATGTAACCTTTTCATGACTAATTTTTTTATTAACCTCCCAATTGCTCTGCAGAGTTGCATTCCTTAGTTGTGCCAGGATATGCTAGTTGATGAAACTAGTGCAGTAAAGCTCAAGACAACTGCCCTCTGATTGGCTAATGTAGACATTATAGGCTTTGAAATTCTGAAATGTCAAATAGATGGCCAAGATTGTATGGCTGCTCTTCCTACTGAATTTCGAAAGTCTCATCCATTTCAAATGTTTATCCCATTGAAATGTTTATAGATGATGATGGAATCAGTCGTACAGCCTGTAACTGGCTTTCGGAATGCCTCATGTTAACCTTTTCAAGGTTGCATGATTAGAAAACACATTCAGACTTTCACATTCTTGTAAGCTGGGCTCTGATTGCTCAAATGAAAGGTCAGTCTGACGGTACCTGTAATCGGATGTCCTCGGATCTATGTGTTGCGGTAACAAGCACTAAGATCTGATGTTAATGGTATTGTCAAACACTCAGATTACATTTGTTAAAAAACAAAGATGGTGACCCCATGATGAACTCATCAGAAGACAAAGTCCCTTTGTAAAATATAACAGAAATTCAAACTGACATATAGAAATTGCTGTCTGAAGAGACTTTTCTTTTTATGCATATAAGTCGAGAGAGGAAACTCCCTTGGTACAATCTATTCCTATTAATTTGATTTTAGAAATTATTTTGCCTCCTAACAATGTCAGGCAATGGTAGGTTTTGCAAGTGTTTTGTATGCAGACTGGGACTGATTTGACACCCTTGAGTTATACTGGTCCTCATTTCATAGGTAGAACTGTATGCATCTCCACTACACCATATAGCAGCCTGACCCCTTCGGCGACCTCAGGGGGTGTCCTCGGGTCCTTGTTTTCACATTTTGACCTCATCAAGAGTAATTACTTGTATATAATACTTCCATCGCTACATGGCTGAGATATTGCTGATGCAACGATAAATTTTAACCCACTCAACTCACTCACACATACAGATATGTATTGGCTTGGATGACTGAGCTACCCCCACACTTTACATACAAAGGGAAAAAACAAAACTGATTGGTTCCACTGATTCCCTAAAGAAATTACTCCTAGTTCACAACAGAACCAAATGAATGACCGTGAAGAGCCAGGTTACAACTGGTCCTTAGCATGTTTAGATGTCCAGTTTGTAAACAACATGGATTTCAACGTGCAGATTTCGATCAACTGCAGGATTTGCAGATCTTGATTATCGATCAGATTGTCTTGACAGGGTGCCCCCATTTTGTTTGAAGCAAATGCAAGTGATATGAGAAGTGGAATCTGGTTGGTCAGTAGGAGGGACATAGAAGGGACATAAGTCATCATAGCCACTGGTGGCGCGATGATCGAGCCCAGAAATTCCAGCCTAGAAAAAACACACCTTTTAATCTAGAAGAAAAATATTTCAGCCAAGGTGAAAAAGATGCATATTCATCCTCAACATTCTGACACAAATACGACAAATCAGTTCTGATACTATTTTATTGCATTTATATCTGTAGTTGTGTGCCTTTTCATATGGCTTTTGGTATGGCTTTATCACATTACATCAGGCTCTGAAATAATGTGACTTTCAATATGACTTCAGTCCAAGTCTCTATGGATTTCATCCATATCTGACATTACAATAGCTTTATACCATGGATATTTGTCCCTGACTTTCATCTCCATCTCTGGAGCCATGAAGTCCCTTGCGAGCATGTAACTAAATCAAATTTGCTACCATTTCAAAACCACAGAAAGCTCCAAATTAATTTCACCTTAGATTTCTTGTATATTCACTTCATGAATATAAATTGAACCGAGAAGCGACATTGTATTTCCTCTGAAACAAACCAGGCATACAGCAAGAGGAAATTGTTGTGATGTGGAATGAATATGTTGAAGGCCATCCTAAAAAATCTCACTCGCACACACACTATGAAGAATTATTTTGTCTGATAACCTGACGATATAGTTCATTTTGATGTTGAAGGAGGAATTTAACCCCCCAAGAGCTGATTTACTCTGGGGTCTTCATAATGTAAACTGACTGCAGTCAAGTGGTCTCCTACTCAGGGAATTCCAACCAGTGTCAGCCAAATTTAAATAATAAAATTTCAGAATTGATTAGTTAGACTTGAATAACAAATAGGCCCAATCTCTCTCAGTCAATTGAATTTGTTAACCGAAAAATTAAAACAATGTGGCATTATACAACATACTTTTGAAGATTATTTGCAAATGTTTTTGTGTGTAAAGAGAAAGGGTTTTTGTATGTAGGTCCAATTTCCAGGTTAGAAGGGAGTACAGTTTAGCTCCACAGTGATCTAAGAAATGTGGACAATTTTCTGTCCAGGTTCAAGAAAATTATCCAAGATTCCTATTCATTATCACAGAAATGACATCAACTTTCCAGCGAGTGGTTACATACATGTATTTGTCATAATTCTAATTTGGCTAATTAATTGCTCTGATTTAATGAAGAAATCTGTTAATTACTTTGATAAGCTGTGTTATCATAAGCTTTTAAATGATGGACCACAAGATGGGAAATATGGTTCAATCCCATAATGCCTACCTCCCATTCTGCCTTCATCCCAATTTGCCTACTGAAAATAATGTAGGCACAATGGGAACTCAGTTTCATCCCTATCTATGTAAATGGACTGAACCACTATTGTCTGACTTTATTTAAAAAAAATATCTGTTGCATATTCAAGTCAGGCTTGTACTGTTGCAGCTTTCTGGATAAAATGTTAGTAACTGTAAAAGGTGAGGTGAGGTGAAATGGGGTTTAACGTTGTGTCCAAAATTATTGCACTTATATATTGACGTGCATGTACCTGTGTGTGTTTGTGTGGCTGCTTTTACTAGTCCGGACTGATGCCCATTTATAGTGCTAGCTCACTGAGATACGATGCCACAGTTTAACATGAATACCCCACTCAGACACAGTATACTGACTCCGAGCTGACCAGTCCTTGTTTTAGCCCCTTAATGCCGAGCGCCAGACAGGGTAACAACAAGTACCATCTTTTAACATCTTTTGGTATGACGTGGCCGGGGATCGATCCCCGGACATACCGCTTTCCGGGCAGATGCTCTACCACTAGACCACGGAGCCGGTCTAGTAACTGTAAAAACTGAGTCAGGGAATTAAATACTGAGCAGAGATGTTGATACATATGACTGTATAAACTGTATTTTCTTTTAGAGATCAATGCAATTAACATTAGACTGAGTATTTACTTATTACTGTATAAACAACAACAAGAACAAAATGATATAGAACCAATCACATCAATTAACTATGTTTCTGTATAATGGTTTTATTTCATTTCACAATTGTTTTCCATTGTGCCTATACTGTTTTGTTGTCTCAGTATGGACCACTTTATCTCCTATCACAGGTGAAACAGATAACAGTCATGTTCACTCATGCATCCCTTCCTGAGCATCAGACCGTATCCTTTCAATTTGTTTCTCCTGAGCTATCGGTTTTTGCATTGTGATCATTCTCTCGCCATCATGGGTTATTGTCGCTGCTTATCAATCAACTAAATGGGCAACTGAGGCCTATATCTGATGATTTGACATAAAGCATGATGAAGGCAAAGTTTATAGTAATTATTTCAATTTGTTTTACAGGTCTTGGTACCATCCCAGAGATGCTGATGGAGAATGGTTCGATGCGAATTGGTCTGTCTTCTCAAGGAAAGATGGTCAGCTTTGTCGGAGAGGTACCACCACCACCTCCTGGCTCTCTTGACGAGAGGCACACCTACACAGTCTTTCTGACCAATCCAGACCATGCTTCCAGTGACACCCAGCCTGGTACCAACCAGGACAGGTCCAACAACTGTGCTGCAGAAAGACCAGGAGGTCATGAGACGTATTCCGGAACAGGCATCACATCCCCTGCTTCTGGTACATCTAATGAAGAATGGCCAAATGTGAATGAAGCTGCATTTGAGGTTGCTCCTTATCCTCACTCAACCGGGTTAAGATCAGACTCTGACCATCTTAGACTCAGTTCTGACGAAAGGAGTTCCAAGACTCCAGCCTCTAAGTCAAGATCCAATTTGGAAAGTCGGGAATCTGATAAGAGCTCTGTAGTCAGGTTGATTATGGATGAGAGTGTGAAGACAGAGTCTCCAGGACCTCCTCCTCCTTCTCCTGAACCCAAGGACATGAAGAGGACATCGGAGGAGAAGAGGCTGCAGGATGTCAAGTCCAGGGAGTCTCTGTCCATGGCTCCACTGTATGAAGAGAGTGAGTTTGGAGAGTCACATGGTCTTGATAGCTCCCATGGATATGACCCTGGAGTCATGAAAACTGTCTGTGAGGTCATTCCACAGCCAAAGAGTGGAAAACGGATGATTTCTGTAGACACATTTGTGAATGTTGATATCCAGGCTGACAGGGATGCCCTCAAACCTGATGGTGAGGAGACATACGGGTCAGAGGCTGCATCTGATGTTTCAGGTTCTCGGCTGGGAACAGGGAGAACAGATGCTGAGGATCCTGCTTCAGAAGATGGTGGATCATCCCTTGATGCCCCATTCACCTTGAAAAACCCTGTGTCGGAAGATAGGGGTGCTCTGGATGGTCAAGACAGGGATGAAGTAGAGGTCTCAAGAGAAACTACTGGTTTCAATAAAGAGGTAGATCCTTTAAATCTTTCTTGTATTATGGATGTTGACCCAGTTGATTATGACACTGCTCAAGGGAGTGAACAGAACACAATGCCAACAGAACCTGCAGACAATCAGGCAGAATGTCATGCTGAGTCATCAGCTCCACCTGCAGAAGATCCAGAAATGACTCAAGAGTCCACTGTACTTCTAATAGAAACCCAGAATATGGAGGCAAATCATGTGGATACTGAAGACAAGGATGCAGGAGGATCATTGGATCAGCAGCCATGTGTAGATGCAACTGCTCCACCTCCTCAAGATGATGAATCCGACAAAGAAAGAGGTGGGGAATCTGAATACCCACATGATGAACAGCCAATTGAAAACTCCAGTTATGATGCATCTAAATACACCAAAGTAAATAAAGAGCCAGAGAATATGGACCAGGAACCTCCTACTTTTGCATCAGAGAAGTCAGTTGCAGATGTTGAGGAAGAGGAATTAGTTGACACACCTGCTCCTGTCACACGCACAAATACAGCCATCGAAATAGTGAAATCTGTGATAGAAACAGCTGAAGCAAATGTGGATGAGCTCATTAAATCAGGAGAGTCTCCTGAAAATACGAAGGAAATTTGAAATATGCATGTATGATTTTAGTGCAGTTCATGACAAAACTAAGAGTTTTATAGAAAAAATTATTTCTGATTGTATTAATATATACTATTGGATTGTTTGTTGTACAGTGATTTTTTTGTTTACATATTTCAACATATGAGCATGATTATAAGCGTTTATGTTAAAGAATGTGATGTATATGATTATTTTATCTGAAAAGGAATACAGGATTTGGGCCAAGACAACAAATGGTATTTTGGGGCATAAAGAGTATATTTATTTACATATATATTGTCTCAAATACCATTAAACCACACTTATTCTTTCATGACATATTCTTTTGTATGTGCCTTTAACATTGCATTGTCACTTTTATTCAATCATTTTATGTCAAACATATAGTAATCTGCAGTCAAACTGGCTTCCAATGTTTTAGGATTATGAAGTTTCCAATGAAATGAAACAGCATGGTTCCTATACATTTTGGCTTAAAATGTAAACAACTAAGGTTTCCATGGTGACAATTTCAAGGTTAATGAACATGCAATGTCTGGGTATAGAAATGATTTACATTTGGAATTTGATAATGTCTGTGGTGTCAGGATACATCCATGATAACATCAGATACTCAAATATTTGAAGAAAAGTTTATTTGAAGAATGCAGTGTTCACAGTATTAACCTTAAGGGTAAAAAGATCATGTGTAATAACTTGATATTTGCACTTGTTCTTTTTAGCAGTTCTCAGTGCTGACTGGTCAGTTGAAGCGATATGATGTTACATGATCTTATTGTTGAGAACAATACAATATAACATCATCTACTGTTCATGACATCACGAACAATAGGCCGACTTCAGTGAAGATTCTCTGAAGGGTTGACAGTTTTTCTTCATTTTCTTCCTCGGATTACATATCATCTGTTCTCAGTGAATGCCTTACATACCTTGTAGCTTGTGGCTTACACCATTCGTTCACTCGTAACAGATTGTATGTAATTCGTCAAAAGTCATCATTTAGTATTTAGGAAGTAAGTCCTTGTCTCATGGGATTATACAATTGGCTTCGTAAAATTACTGACACACATACACACCCTTGGTTTATTCCCTATAATTAGCAAATCACACAGGGACTCTTGCTAGAATCCCCATCACCCCATTGCTGGCCAGACAAGGCTGCAAAATTGGATCAGGTGGTGAGGCTCTGGGACTTGACTGATTGGATGTAATTTGCCCCAGTGTCATAGATTGTTGCTACGTCTTACAAGCATTGTTTTGTCAGGTCTAAACACAATTATTTTCAGACTGTTGTGATATGGCTGGAATATTGTTGACTGTGAACTTAAACATTGACTCACTCTATTCCCACAGTGGGGATATCTAAGGCACTGCAATCTGCTGTGCAGAGTTGCCTCCCTTAGAAAAACCAGAAACCTATTATCACAGGTACAAATCCCAGATTCACCCTGATTGTGTTTCTAGGGTTTGTTAGCACCATGCCATGCTCGTGGTTTCTCCAAATTGGTAAACATCTAAAACCTGCATCACTTTGGGCCTTCCCCTCACATTAATTTGACACACTGAGATATTACTGAAATACTGTTCAAAGAGAAGTTAGACCAAAGTCACAATGATTAAAACTACAAAACCTCTTTGTCTTATGATCACCATGACAAATACACTCATATTATAATCTCTGTGATATATCAAAGAGAATCAATAACATTGAAATCATGTCTTGTAATAGCTTTGATCTGTTTTGTATCAGAGCATGGAATCAGTATGCTGACATATAGTTTGAATGATCAGGCTGTTCAAGAAACTCAACCACCTTCTTTGTTGAAGGTTGTGATATTTGACCATTATATGTTGTGTATATGTGAAATACCAAATGAGTCATTTCAGTTGTGTTAAAAGCACTTGCTTCAGATAACAGTGGATTAATGTATGTCACAACTGATTAATATCCATGTAAGACTCAGATGGCAGATTTGCGAGTCAGTTGTTACATGGCGTTGTGTCAATCTGCTGCACATTCCCCTTCTGTGATACAACATTCCAAACAGATGACAGATTTGCGAGTCTGTTGTTACATGGCGTTGTGTCAATCTGCTGCACATTCCCCATCTGTGATACAACATTCCAAACAGATGGCAGATTTGCGAGTCTGTTGTTACATGGCGTTGTGTCAATCTGCTGCACATTCCCCTTCTGTGATACAACATTCCAAACAGATGACAGATTTGCGAGTCCGTTGTTACATGGCGTTGTGTCAATCTGCTGCACATTCCCCTTCTGTGATACAACATTCCAAACAGATGGCAAATGTGCGAGTCTGTTGTTACATGGCGTTGTGTCAATCTGCTGCACATTCCACTTCTGTGATACAACGTTCTGCATTCTATTCTGCATATTGTTTTTCTTTATTCCACCGTCGCCTTTTTACCTTGATATCTGTCTCAAATACCTAATTACTGAGTGACACAGCCAACAGCAGGAGACTGATATCTATGGAGTCCTCACGCAATACAAATCTCCTTGGATCAAGTTTTCATTTCGTGAGCAGATATTAACTTTGGATCTTCAAGTGTAATGGGGTTGAGAATAAATTTCATCGTATTGAAATGCATGGAATTTAATACTTGCAGCACTGAGTTGTGAGAAATAAATTACAAATTGGTTTTAACAACTTTAGAACTTTCAACTAAACCAAGTATGTTGTAGGATTATTGAACAAAATGAGGTGCCAGTCGCACTAACTGAGTGGCATCTTCTTGTTCATATTATTGACCCAGTGATAGTTGGAAATATATTTACTGGAACAGTCATAATTTAATCTGACTTTAACTGGTATTTTCTGTGGCAAAGTGCTACCATGACTTAAGATATGTCTGGTAAACATCATGTAGGCATGATTGGTACTGGTTGCTATGGTAACACCATGTAAGCCTGTTTTAATAAATGCCTTGTACCTGATTATTTGGTCCAATCTCATAAAAATCGGATCTTAGTACTTGCTTTGGATATAATTGTACTATACTTCACCCAAATGACATTCACAGATTTGTGCAGAGTCTCTTGCTCTGATATTTATTGTTGTCTTGGCACCTTGTTTGTAAACTTGTGTCACCCTGGTAACAGCATTCAATTACCATACAGCATTATGAATTATATTATATAATGTTTGGAAATATCAATTGTCTTCAGTCAATCCAAAAAGTATTATGAAGATCAGGGTTGTCAGTGTATTGTTTTTTTATTACAGTTCTTTCTTCTTGCCACAACATGCCTTATCCCCTTTGAAGCACTATGTATCGTGACAAACCCTCTACAACACAAAACCCTCTATAATACCAAACCCTCTATAATGCCTACCCACTATGATGTCATCCTGCTATGCCAAACCCTCTATAATGCCAACCTGCTATAAACCACATCCTCTATGATGCCAACCTGCTATAATACCAAACCCTCTATTATGCCAAACCCCATATAGTGCCAAACTCTCTATAATGTAGATGTCCTTTTGTGTGTAGATTTTAATTGTAGAAGCCAGTTTTAAATGTGATACTTTTATGGGCCAGTTGACCACCAGACAATAATATTCATTTTTAAAACAATTGCATGTGGGTATATTACATGATTGGTGTGAGTTTATTTGGTTAAAAACTGCTGTAAAGGTGCAAGATTGGATTTGCATGTATTTTGCCTTTGTCCATCTTGTGTGTATTCTCTTGGCACATCTTTGAATGACATATTTCATCACACAATTCCTTACTGAGCACAAAGAGGTTGGCTCATCCAGTGATGCCTACAATCATGATTTGTGAGTACATAAGATAGCATCAGATCTACACAGCAATATGAATTGCATATGTAACATACTAGTACTAGTCAGCGACCTAACTCACTCAGCCATTATGGCTTCCACAAAATGGAAGTTAAGCAACTGGTAGTACTTTGTGCACCTCTTGATACAAGTGCATGTCACATCCTGCAATGAAGCTACCCATGGTTCCTGTTTGTTTTTGCATTGCATCACGAGACAATTATCATATATTCTTTTTAGACAGCTATATTCAAAGATCTGTTTTGTTTAATACTTCATAAATTCCTTCATTTTCATTTGTTCTGTGAATTTTAAAAATGCAAAAACGATCTTGCACCTTTAAGGCAAAACTTCAGTTGGGTCAAATCTGCTGATTAATACCTGTAATCATAATATTATGTCCCCAGAAGATGTCCTTTGCTGGGATTCTGCTGAGAATGGTTTCTATGTGTGAAATAAACATATATTATATCTTTGTTAGGACTTTTTTCTAATTTGTGACTTGTTAGTTGTCATGAGTGACAGTCTGGTCTTATTCAAGAAATTTGAATTGTCTACTTATTTTAGATGTGAGCATGTGTGTTTGCATCATTATTCAAACATATCTGTGATTGAAAAGACAAAATGTCTCATAGCTCACAATAGGAAATCATTGTTAATGTCCTGGGACGTTTGATATCATATATTTTTTCTCTGAAGGTTGGAGTATGAACCATCTTTTGAGACACCCAGAATGTCAAGTAAGCAACTTTTGTACATAAAACCTACGACAAAAATCCCAAACAACCTCCAGACTCGACAGTTAAGGACTGTCAAAGACTGGCCAGCTTCAGATAAATACTCCACGTTACAGGTCCCCTTTCGTAAGTCGATCGTAGCTCCAACATTCATTATATCTTTGTTAGGACTTGTTCTAATTTGTGACTTGTCAGTTGTCATCAGTGACAGGCTGGTCATGTTCAAGGAGTATGGCCAGCTTCAGATAAACACTCCACGTTACAGGTCCCCATTCGTAAGTCGATCGTAGCTTCTGCAGTTCAACAAACACATACAGAAGTCGTAGAGCGAAGACGGCTTCCTGGATATCCGTCTGCAACGCCAACGTAATCGGCTACAAACACACAGACATTGTCATGGGATTCCAATACGCCAGTCACGTCACAGGACCGCTGAGAAGTACAGCAACGACACCATCACACGAGACTACAGTTTACCCTGGAACGACAGTAATTGCCGCCGTTCTTCAGTGTAATGGTTTTCAGTGCTAGGCCTCCTTTCTGTGTTTTTCCTTGATGGTAGAATGAAATAAAGCCAAAAGGCACTGTAGCTCAGATTTATTCTGGAATATCATTTTAGATCAGAATGGTTATACATGGGCAAAGAAGGATATGCAAAAGAAATAACAGAAGTTTCTACTTAAGCACCCTCTCAGCATGTTCATTAAATGACACTATGACACCTGTATAACTGTCTATGCAGAGGGACGGTATAGCATGCTCACCATGGTGGCCATGAAACGATTGGCACCCATAGCCGTACATAAATGTGGAAGTGGAACTTGTGACAAATCACAACGCACAGCAAATTATAACGTGTTTTTGTTCGTCATACCACATAATTACTGTATATCCGACTTCATAATGACGGATGTGTACACAAATACACGCAAAGGCAAGTCAATTGTTCACCTGAAATAAAATCAGGAACATATGCTACAAGCCAAAATGGGAATTATATCAGACACCATTGTCACTGAAAGTACGTCCTGAAACCTTTTGAAAGCTTTGCTGAGTCCTTGAATGTTGTAACCTTCACGCATGTCTTGCCTAACACAAGCACAAGCATTTCTGGAATAAGCAAACATCGATGTCATCAACTGGATGGCTGAGTCACGCGATGTTAATCCGATTATGCACTTCTAGGACGATCGTGTCAAAGTTATTCATCTACGACCTGCATCACTTTGGGCTTCCCGCTCACATCAAGCTGTCACGCCGTGATATGACTGAAATACTGTTCAGAGGATCGTAAACTCATTCACAGTTACATTCAAATCTGCCCAGCAAATGTCGCCGTCTGCAAGCCCCCCGTGGGATCTCCGGGTGGAATAAGTGTCCAGAAGCCTTATTTCTTGAAAGAGGCATCTCGTGAGGCGGCAGGACCTAAGCCCTACAAAATCTAGTTAAACTTGCCAAAATAGGTCATCCATCCAGTAACTCTCTGCGACCAACGTTACTTGACTTTGCCGAATATCTGGACTGTGCAAAAGGACCACGTAACACATATAGAAAATAGTTACATTGAGTACTTGGTAGCAATAACGGATCAAAGTAGATATGCGGCACTTCTTAAATACAGGTGACAGGGCTAGGAAATAGAATGGGTATGAGTCAGTTCCTGGTTTGAGGGGAACAAGGGCAAGTAGCTATAGTTTTGACTCCAACGCCAACGCCTCCGTCCATTCCTTACTGGCACGGCGCAGCTCATAATTACAAATACTTAATTCAGCTATCATCCAAATAAGAGGTGAGGCGAAATGGGGTTTAACGTCGCGTCGGTTTTACACAGTTTTACATAAATACCCCACTCAGACAAGGTTTACAGACTCCAAGCCGACACGTCCTTGTTTCGCCCCATTAACTCCGAGCGCCAGGCAGGGTAACAACAAGTTCCATCTTTTAACGTCTTTTGGTATGATGTAGCCAGGGATCGAACGCCGGACCTTCAGATCGCCGGGAGGACGCTCTACCACTAGATTAAGGAGGTGGTCTCATCCTAATAACAGACACCAGGTGCCAGATACCTCCAGAGAGGTATCATAGAAGGTCTGATTTTATGCGAACTTGTCTCAAGACATCAGGAATGAGAGAGTGAGTGAGTTTATGCTTTTCGTCACATCGGCAATATTTATGCCATATCATGACGATCTAGACATCATGGCTGATGAGTGTTTTTTCAGTTTTTGTCAGAAAATACCGCTATTAATAGTCACTCCTAATGGTTGTTGACAAATACTTTTGTCATCTCTTGTCACATATAGGGCCAATCAGTTTCATGTGCCACCCGTTGGTGAAAGTTGGCTTTCTACGTTAAAGGGTGGGTTGCCTGTCACTCGACCGGCAAATCAGGCTGGCCAATCACATGATAAGTTAGCGCCTTCTGAATGGTTGTTTGTTGAAACGCTTTGTATCATAAAGACTTCCCTCCCCTGTCTTTGTAATCAGAAAAGTACCCGGATACCTGCAATGTCTACAGGGCTGAAAGTGGAGGTTAGTCCTTAGATGTGTGTACAGAGCTTCTGGAAACGCTGGAATGCCAGTTTGCACGCATATACCTATCTGGTCTATATAATTGGTTATTTCGTAATCCTGGCATTTAAGAAAACGATTTAGCACAAGGTAATTTTTAACATTGAAACTTGGATCTAATTTCAAATTAAAGCATTGGACAGACCCTGTTGTAGATCGAGAAGTCTTCCAGTTTATTGTGGCTGGATCCGGTCGTATTCAAAAGCAATTTATCGTTTTAGATTAGATTTCAAACGAATCCAAAAGTCAAAATAAATTTCCAGCATTTCTTGTATTCCTTACAGAAAGACTTAATTAGTTTGGGGTGAGGCCAAATGGGGCTTAACGTCGCGTTTAAGATTATTGCACTCATATAGCAACGTGCATGTACGTTTGTGTGTGGTCCGATTTTTAAGATTATTAAGATTTTACAGTGCTAGTCCACTGAGATACCATGTCACAGTTTAATATATATACCTAAATCAGACACATTATACCTACTCCGAGCCGACCAGTCCTTGTTTTATCGCGTAAGTGCCGAGCGCCAGGCAAGATGGCAAGTGCCATCTTGAACATGGATATCAATGAGATTAATAGTAGATGATTAATTAAGTACACTGAAGGTGTAGTGATTACAAGGATCTGGCTATTGTGACACAAGCAATAATGCAATGCCCATTGTGGTTGATAATGTGATTATAGCACAGTGGAGGACACACTGTGTAGGTAGATACGGTTTACCCACACTTTGCCAGCAGCTTGATGTTTACAGAAGGGATTAGTGGTTACACCTGACTGAGCGTGCAGGTCCAATTTATTCCCCGTGTAATTCTATTCGGGGTGTACAACCATGAACTATATCAAGCCTAAGAATGTCAGGTTCAAGTATTATTTGCAACACATTCAACAGTAAATAAATATGTTATATTAACTAAAAAAAGAAACCAAAAAACAAAGTTTTACATTCATCTTTTATTTCACACAGATATTTGCAACATGTTACATTCATATTTTATTTCACACAGCTCCCAAAGTCAAACAATATATGAAACATATCATCCAATTTATAGTCCGACAAGATGTGAGACATCCATAGATCAGGGGGGTTGTGACACCTGTCACAAGTAGTCTCTTTTGCTGCTCTAACCTTTCCTCTAGCTGGCGGTACACCTTCTTGGGTCTAACCTTTCCTCTAGCTGGCGGTACACCTTCTTCTTGGGTCTAACACTTCCACCTGTATTCAGCTGCATCACCGTCAACCCTCCAAAGTTCTGTTCGGACTTGATCAGGTTCACAAACTTAAATATGTTGGGGTGACAAGCAGCAAGTTTTGGACAACTTCGAAAGCCATCCTTCTACATGGTTTGTTGTCCTTGGACCTACAGTGTCGAAATGATTCCACATGAATCTCTCTCCACCCTCCACCCACTGCTCAGTCACATAGTCAGCAAAGTTCCTTACACCAGGGATGTCCATATCAACCGATTCCAAAGCATGGAGCCAGAAGTCTTCAATGTCACAAATTCGGATAAGTGGAAGTGCTGCTGCATGACGGATAAACCGATTCACAGATGGATTGTTCTGAAATGCTACCTGAAGTCCACAGCGTTGCACATTCTTCCATACTGCTTGTCTGAAGTGAAACATACACCCCTTAATCTGGCATGGGAACTCTATCTTGGCGGCATTTTGGGCTGCGGTTTCAAAGTCAGTGAAGACGAAGTTGGGCTGTAGCTGGAGGTTCATCTGGTTGGCCTTCTGTTTCAGGATGGTAAACAGACGTAGATAAGTGGATTGTTTCTTGTCTGGTAGCAGGGCAAACACCAGAGGGACCATCTTGTTGTGGACAAAGGCATGGATGGTGTATATCTGGTAGAAGATTAAAATTAAATGAACACTATTCATATTTATCTGTGATTACTGGTCAACATGTATGTCTAATACTGGTGAACATGGTTCATGATCGGGGGCAACTAATTTTGTGTAGCACCTGTTGTTTTAAGGGATTACCATGCTCCAGTGACCTGGAACCTGGAACAATAGGAACTGGCAAAGTGAGAACACCCCGTAGATACCTTGGTCTCTGTTCATGGCTGGCTTCTTTCTTTTAGACTATTTGGATGTTAATGCTTTCTTGAAGATTCCTCTTTTTCCAATGACTGTTTGTGGATAGATGATATGGTGGTCAGGGGTTTTGATGAGATTTCCGAAAGGGCAGATTTCATGTCAGAATTTCAACAGAGGTCTTTGCTATGGGGCATGAAGTCTCTCCAATGTATTTGTTTCCACAGTTGTCATGTTATATCAAAACACATCCCGTGGGGCTTGGGGTGGACTGGGTGGGACCTTTACCCTTATCCCTTTACCCCACCTTGTGTTGTGTAAACATATCATAACAAACAATAAAACAAGTTGCTATCCATAAAAAAGTGTCATATTCATGTTCTAAACTTCTAAATGCCTATGAAAGACTTCAAGTGTCATGTTTTAACGTCTTTTGTTAGTCCGGTCTCTGGACAGACGCTCTATCCACGAGACCACGGACACGGTCATGGTAGTTTGAAGGGACAGTCAATGAGAAATGTAACTATTTTTTTTTAGCTGAGTCTTATTAAAACGGCCACCCGTGAAGATTCCGGGTTATAATTGGTCTTTGGCAACCCATGTTTGTCGAAAGGGGCGACATACGGGATTGGATTCTCTGGCTTGCTGACTTGCTTGATGTATGTCATCGTATCTCAGTTTTGCAGATCGATGTTCAGGATGTAATCTCTGGATTGTCTGGTCCAGAGTCGATTATTTATTGATAGCTGTCATATAGGTGGAATATTGGAATGTAGCGTGTAACTTAACTACTGGTTCTATTTTTGTTAAAATGTCTTGAAATAGAAGAGGACATCACAGAAATGACATCATTTTCCAGTTAGCGCTTGCATTGGTTATATTTTCATCACAGACTGTTTTTTATTATAAGAGGAAAGCTTTTTCAAAAACTCACACCTATTTATCGAGAAGTAAGCTATTCCGGCAAAAGTGAAAAAATGCATATTCATCCTCAACAAATCACGAATCCACAAAATCAGTTCTGATTTGTCACGATTTTATCTTATTGCATTTATATCTCTAGTCGTGTGCCTTTTCAAATTATATCAATATCTGAAATAATGTGCCTTTTAACATTACTTCAGTCCAAGTCTCTATGGATTTCATCCATATCTGACATTACACTAGTTTTATACCCAGTATATTTGTCCCTGACTTTCATCTCCATCTCTGGAGCCATGAAGTCCCTTGTGAGCATCAAATCAAATTTGCTACCATTTCAAAACCACTGAAAGCTCCAAATTAATTTCACCTTAAATTTCTCTTATATTCACTTCAAGAATATAAATTGAGCCGGGATGCCACAATGTATTTCCTCTGAAACAAACCAGGCATATAGCAAGAGGAAATTGTTGTGATGTGGAATGAATATTGTTGAAGGCAATCCTACAAAGTCCCAGTCGCACACACTATGAAGATATATTTTGTCTGATAACCTGACAATATAGTTCATTTTGATGTCGATGGAGGAATTTAATTAATTAATTTGATTAATTGCTCTGATTGCTCTGATTTAATTAATTAGTTTGTTAATTGCTTTGATAAACTGTGTTATAAGCTTTACAATGATGGATCACAAGATGGAAAATGCATTCACATAATATTCTTTGTATTTTACAGAATGTAATATAACCATTAATGTCTTATTAATTAACACTAACTTATTATCATTTCCCCATGTTTTATTTATTGAAACTTTGAGTGCTGTAGCTGTGGTGAAAATCACTTTGTTTGTTGATTTGTTTTTGTTGCAATTTGTTTCTCCTGAGCTATCGCTTTCTGTTTTGCATTGCAATCATTCTCTAGCCATCATGAGTTATTGTCGCTGCTTGACAAATAACAAATTGATGTATCTGTACTGCAAAACACTTTGTCTTTCTGACCAATCCTGACCATGCTTTTCCAGTTGACACCCAGCCTGGTACCAACCAGGACGGGTCCAACTGTATGAAGAGAGTGGTCTTGATAGCTCCCATGGGTATGACCCTGGTGTCATGAAAACTGTCTGTGAGGTCATTCCGTAGCCGAGTGGAAAACGGGTGATTTATGTAGACACATTTGTGAATATTGATATCCAGGCGGACAGGGATGCCCTCAAACCTGATGGTGAGGAGACATACGGGTCAGAGGCTGCATCTGATGTTTCAGGATCTGGAGGATCATCCCTTGATGCCCCATTCACCTTGAAAAACCCTGTGTCGGAAGATAGGGGTGCTCTGGATGGTCAAGACAGGGATGAAGTAGAGGTCTCAGGAGAAACTACTGGTTTCAATAAAGAGGTACATCCTTTAAATCTTTCTTGTATTATGGATGTTGACCCAGTTCATTATGAAACTCCTCAAGGGAGTGAACAGAACACAATGCCAACAGAACCTGCAGACAATCAGGCAGAATGTCATGCTGAGTCATCAGCTCCACATGCAGAAGATCCAGAAATGACTCAAGAGTCCACTGTACTGCACTGTACTTTTGGATCAGAGAAATCAGTAGTAGATGTTGAGGAAGAGGAATTAGCTGATGCAGATGTGAACATCCCTGCTCCTGACACACGCACAGATACAGCCATCCAGATAGTGAAATCTGTGATAGAAACAGCAGAAGCAAATGTGGACGATCACATTAAATCAGGAGAGTATCCTGAAGATACGAAGGAAATTCGAAATATACATGTGTGGTTTTCGTGCAGTTCATGACAAAACTAAGAGTTTTATAGAAAAAATTATTTCTGATTGTATTAATATATACTATTGGATTGTTTGTTGTACAGTGATTCTTTTTTACAAATTATGTTTATTTGCATATATTTTATCTCAACCGTTTCAACTTTTGACGTGTTTTAAGTATTATTCTGTTGAAATCAATTGGACTATGCCATGGATCGTGTAGGTGTCAGCCTACTCATACTCAACAATATAATTTAAAAAAAACGTTATACATGGCAAGTAATACATATAAAATACTAAACTCGCTCCCGGGTAAAATATCGTCAGATACCACAACTATGCACTCGTTTCATAAAATTGGTATTACACGGGAGCTCGTTTAGTATTCTATATATATGTAATTCGTCAAAAGTCATCGTTTAATATTGAGGAAGTCAGTCTTTGTCACATGGGAATATACAACTCACTGACACACACACACACACACACACACACACACACACATACACACCCTTGTGATATTCCCTACAATTAGCAAACCAGACAGGGACAGGCCACAACATTGGCAGGTGGTCAGACTCTGTGACTTGACTGATTGGTTGGAATTTAAACATGACTTTGTCAGGTCTAAACATACTTATTTTAGGCTGTTGTGATATAGATGGACTATTGTTAACTGCAAACTTAAACATTGACTCACTCTATTCCCCCAGCTATCTACGGCGCTGCAATCTGCAGTGCAGAGTTGCCTCCCTTAGGAGTACCAGAAACCTATGATCACAGGTTCAAATCTAAGATTCACACTGATTGTGTTTCTAGGGTATGTGACCCAATACCATGCTCGTGGTTTCACCAATGTGGCGAACGTCAAAGACTTGCATCACTTTGGGCCTTCCTCCCACATTAAATGGACACGCTGACATATAACTGCAATACTGTTCAAAGCAACGTTGGACCAAATCGCACTTCACACATGATTAAGTACAAAATCTCTTTGTCGTATGATCAGTATGATTTATCAAAGAGAATCAATAACCTCACAACCACACGAAATCATGTCTTGAGATAGCTTTCATCTGTTTTGTATCAGCTCAGAATCAGTTTGCTGATGTTTGGAATGATCAGGCTGTTCTAGAAACGCACCCACGGTGCTATTTGATATATGTCTCTTTGTTGAAGGCTGTGATATTTGACCATTATATGTTGTGTATATGTGAAATACAAGATGAGTCATTCCAGTTGTGTTAATAGCACTTGCTTCAGGTAACAGTGGATTAATGTATGTCACAACTGATTAATACCCATGTAAGACTCAGATGGCAGATTTGCGAGACAGTTGTTACATGGTGTTGTGTCAATCTGCTGCACATTCCCCTTCTGTGATACCACATTCCAAACAGATGGCAGATTTGCGAGTCTGTTGTTACATGATGTTGTGTAAATCTGCTGCACATTCCCAATCTGTGATACAACATTCCACACAGATGGCAGATTTGCGAGTTTGTTGTTACATGGCATTGTGTCAATCTGCTGCACATTCCCCTTCTGTGATGCAACCTTCCACACAGATGGCAGATTTGCGAGACAGTTGTTACATCATGTTGTGTAAATCTGCTGCACATTCCCCTTCTGTGATGCAACATTCCAAACAGGTGGCAGATTTGCGAGTCTGTTGTTTCATGGCGTTGTGTCAATCTGCTGCACATTCCAAATCTGTGCCACAACCTTCCATACAGATGGCAGATTTGCGAGTCCGTTGTTACATGGCGTTGTGTCAATCTGCTGCACATTCCCCTTCTGTGATACAACCTTCCACAAAGATGGCAGATTTGCGAGTCTGTTGTTACATGATGTTGTGTAAATCTGCTGCACATTCCCAATCTGTGATACAACATTCCACACAGATGGCAGATTTGCGAGTCTGTTGTTACATGTCATTGTGTCAATCTGCTGCACATTCCCCATCTGTGCCACAACCTTCCATACAGATGTCAGATTTGTCGAGTCCGTTGTTACATGGCGTTGTGTCAGTCTGCCGCACATTCCCCATCTGTGCCACAACCTTCCAAA